TTTTGAAGGGAAATCATGTTTGACAAACTTGATAAAGTTTTTTTTTAAAGAATGTTATTAGCAGAGTCAATAAGGGCAAAACCAATGGATGCAGTGGATTTGGATTTTCAGAAGGCTTCCGATAAAATCCCACGCTGGAAGTTAGTGAACAAAATTAGAGTGCATGGCATTGGGGGTAATATGCCAGCATGGACTGAAGATCATTAACAGGCAGAAAGCAAATAGTGACAATAAATGGTTCATTCTCAGGCTGTCAGATGGTAACCAGTGGGGTGTCATGAAGATCAGTGCTGGGGCTCCAGCTGTCCACAATCTCTATTTCAATGATTTAGATGTCCAACTGTACTGTTTCCTGGCTCATAGATTATGCAAAACCTGGTGAGAGTGTGAGTTGTGAGAAGCATGAAATGTCTCTTAAGTGGATGCAGGCAGGAGTGAGTGAATGAGTGGGCAAGAGCATGGCAGATGGAATATAAAGGGAACAAGTGTAAGGTCCACTTTTGTAGGAGGAATGAAAATGTAAAGTACTTTTTAAATGGTCAGAGATTTGCAAGTGTTGATTTCCAAAGGGACCTGGGTGCCCTTATTTGTAAGTCACTGAAAGCTGGTATGCAGGTGTAGCAAGCAATTCAGAAGATAAACCTTTATCACAAGAGGATTTGACTGTAGGAACAAAAAATCTTGCTTCAATTGTATAGAACATTGACTAGGCCGCACTGGGAGTATTGGGTGTAATTCTAGCCTCCTTTCCTAAGGAAGGGTATACTTGTCATAGAGAGAATGCAGCAGAGGTTCACCAGACTGATTTCAGGGATGATGGGACTGACCTGTGAGGAGAGATTGAAGATTCTTGGCCTGTACTCTCTGGGGTTTAGAAGAAGAAAAGGTGATCTGGTAGTAACGTACCAAATTCGGAAAGTTACAGGCAAAGTAGATGCAGAAAGGATATTTTCCTTGGCCGTTGGAGCTAGAACCAGAGCGCACAGCCTCAGAATAAAAGGCAGGCCAGTTATGACTGAAATGAAGTCTAACTTCTTCACTCGGAGAATGATGAGTCTTTGGAAATCTATCCCAGTGGACTGTGGAAGCCTAGCCATTCAGTAAATTCAAGGCAGAGATTGATAGATTGGTTACTAACGACGTCAAGGGGTATATAAGGAATACGGCGTTGAAATAGATGACCCAGTCATGAACTATAATGGCACAGTAAGCTTGAAGAGCTGATTGACCTACTGCTGCTCCTAAGTTCTGTGATCTTATGATAATCACCATCAACCAGCAATTCTCTAGTGGAGTGCAGTGCACTTGCCCTGCTTCAATCACCAGAACTAGATCCATTATTCCTTCTGCCCACAAGATAAAACTAAAATAATTGCAATAGATTTACCACTGAGATAATCTTTATTAGTACAGAGGGTTATGAAGCTTATGAGATGTTACCAGGTATTGTGTCGAAGCAGAAACCATTTAAGAAAAGGTTGATAGTTGGGAGGACTACAGGAAAAGGAGAATTGAGTTGACACTACTTGTATGGAGGATATTTGGGAACATAAACTGGTTAACTTTAATAGCTGTTTGTGTTATGATTTGTTTATAATAGTCAATGAATAATAATTCATGGATGATAAAGAAACCAACCTGTCAGTGCTTTTAGTTTGTTTTGCCAAACAGGAATTTCTTTTTTCTTTATTTGTTAACGGGATGAGGGTGTTGCTGGCTGGGCAGTATTTATTGCCCATTTCTAATTACCCAGAGGGCAATTAAGAGTCAACCACATTGCTGTGGGTCTGGAGTCACATGTAGGCCAAACTAGGTAAGGATGGCAGTTTCCTTCTCTAAAGCACATTAGTGAACCAGATGAGTTTTTCTGACATTTGACAATGGATCCGCAGTCATCATTAGACTGTTAATTCCAGATATTTATTGAATTCAAATTCCACCATCTGCCGTGATGGGATTTGAACCCGGGTCCCTAGAATGTTATCTGGGTTTCCGAATTAAAAGTTCAGCAATAATACCACTAGGTCATCGCCTCCCCCAAAATGAGTTGTAAAAGATCTCAAAAAACACAGTGAATCAGTAACTGCAACTAATGTATCATATAACTTTTATGAACATGGTGAAGGAGAATGAGAATATATGAAAATAAGTTTAGTTTTGATATTGCTTTAAGCTCAAGACATTTGTTTGCTTTTAACTTGTTAATTTACTGAAGCAGTCTTATTAAAGTTTGGTGCTTATGCAAGGATGCAGTTATTCTGCAACTGAAGTCTGATACCAGTATCTGGATTGCAACATGCAGTTAGCAGATCAGAGTTATCCTGTTGACTGTGCATCACTGTCAGTTGCAGTAGCACCATAGAGAACACCTGATTTTGCTTTGGTAGCAAAAATCTTGCTCTTCTACTCATGAATTTCTTTCTGGTGGTTCATTTTTTTACAGCAGAATGCAAGCTTCCAACTTCAAAGTATTGCTGTAAAAAGACACATTTTGTGTAAGCACTCTCCATAGCTTTTCTCTCATGTAGTATAAATGTGGTTTCTCCTTTGAATTGGTATTCTTGCAAATTGTCCTGATGAATGCAAAACAGCTTTGATAAATGACTTTTTTTTCAGCAATACTCGAGATCTGTACTAAAAAAGCAACTATTCAAAATTAAATGTCAGACAAATCCATTAACTTGAATGCAGTGGGTAATGAATGTACACATTAGTTTGTGGCGGTTGCTTGAATAATATTTAATATGATAAAACATACTTTCTCTCAGAGGTAGTGACTTGGTGGAATTCTTACCACAAAAGTACTGTCAAGCCTGGGTAATTACATGTATTCAAGGCTGAGATAGACTGATTTTTCATCAGTAAAGGAATCAAGGAGAATAAGGAAAAGGCAGGAAAGTGGAATTCAGAATTATGAGATCAGCCATTATCTCATTGAATGGTGGTGAAGACATGGTGAGCTGAAGGTAGCTAGAAGAGAAATAATTGGGCAACTCATCCCTTTCCTGCCACCTTAGCAATGAAATTTAATCTATAAGTATCCTTCTCAACTAATTAAGCCACCAGTTAAGACCCTCAGTGATCAATCCAATGCCCAGTCTAGGGCCAATCAGAAGCACAGATGGTGGCCAATGCCATGGCCTCTGAAAGTCCATCCTTCTTGTCCAACTGCTGATCTCTTCCTAATGGAATCCATCACCTCCCATGAGAGGGTAAGAAAGAAAAAGCTTACTTTCTCATTGTTAGATCCACTGAGGATAGTAGCCCTCAACTGACTGACTTTAGAATCAAGAAGGTATACACCCCGATGTTTCAGCAACATTTGGCAACCGGTTAAGTTACCTTGCCAGTAGAAGCAACATGTTAGTCTTAGAATTAACATGGGAAAATTCCACCAAAAGTCACAAATGATCATGATTTCCTGAGTGTTCCCATTAAAGCTGGGAAGTAGTCCATGTGTATGTTCTATGTCTGGATGGAGAAAATACTCCCAAAGTCAAACAATTATTCTTTGTGGTAGAACTTTAGAATGCACGCAAACTTCAATTTTAGCCCATGGTCTAGTGATTTATTTACTTTCCTTGTGTTAATTTTGATTGTTTCAAAAATAAATTTCATTTATTCAGATTGCCTGAAAAGTGAGGTCAAAATTTGTTAATTTTATTTTAAAAATTATTTGTTCCTGTGTACCACAGTACTTCCTTCAGAATAGGAAGTAGCCAAGCCTTTACCTTGCTGACCAGAGGTAAACCGTGGGGAAATAGTAGTAGTTACTCATAAAGCTCTTGAAATGGGAACAGCTCTTGATCTTTATTTAGTGGGACATTGGTTCAAGATAGATCCAAACCCACTGAGATGCTGCCCCTCCCATTCATTAGCAACCCATCAACCATCTGAACAGATTCAGACATAAGATTGGAGTGTGGAGGGCTGCTTGTTTCCAGTACAGGTAAGAGCTTACCCCAAAAAAGTTAAATATTCAGTTGCAAATTGGAGGGGAAGAAATTGAAAAAAGTAAACTTACTTATCTGACAGCTTATTATCTCATGATGTCCAAAATTTATGAAAATAAGATCTCAACATTTTTGGTGAGAAATAGTTAAAATAATGAATGCATTTTAAGATGACTAGCTTGAAGATGGTATCGGTCTTAAATATTGCTGTTGCATTTCTTCATCCTCAACCTCATCTTTGTATTTTCATGCTGTGTTTTGCTACTATTATTTCTCTATCTCTTGCTACTAAACTTGCATTTATTTTAGAGTTAGTGCACTGCCATAGAAAATTTAACATGAAAATAATGTAAACTGAATCCACCAAAGAATAATACAACCTAACTTCCTAGTAAAATATATATATATATAATAGCATATAATAGAATTTTCTTCCAACCCATCAACTCATTTAGGGGAAATTTAATTTTTAAACAACAGTAGTCAAATTTGGCTCACATAGATCTGATCTGCGCTAGTGCTATGTTCATATTGGAAAAGAAAATGTTACTTTAATTAACTTGTGTTATCTCAGATATTCTGCTAGAATTTTACATCTTTTCCTTACATGTGGACCAAATTATAAAGCCAAGTAACAACAATTTGTAATATTAAGATAGTAACTTCTAATAAATGTATGTGATATTCCTTAGTCCACTATTAAAACAAAAGTTCTAATCTCATTCAATTGGCTGAAAATATTGCATTGAAATTGTAGCAAAAGGATTTAATTTAAATTTTGTGTATTAATATCTGGAGAGCCTAATTATAAATATCAATATTCACATTCCATCCCTGCCATCATACTTAACCCTAATTTAAAATTTTAGCTGATGATAAACCTTCTTAAATTCAAAACAAAATTCCATGAAAAGCAAGGTTTCTTTCTTTCAGTAAAAGCTTTTAAATTCTGAACAAACCCTTGTTTAGTAACTGAATTATTGCAAGTTGACAATTTATGATCCTTTCTGTATTATGCTCAGTTATTTTCTCTCTATCAACAACTAGCTAAAGAATACACACGACGTAATCGGCAGAGTCGCACCTTTATGGTGGAAAATGTCATAGGAGAAATCTGGTCAGAATTGGAGCAAGGTAGTGTCTTCTTTCCTGGCATTCTTGGCTCTTTCTGATTTTCATTATTCTGGCAATGGTGCCATTTTCTGTTAACATTGCATATGTTGTTTCTGTGGGACATTTACATACAAAACAGTGATGAAAGAGAGATCAAAGGAAAAGGTTGCTGTCACTTCACTGCTTTGTGTGGCGTTGCTGTGCTGCATTTGCACCCTATCTTGATGCATCTTTAATATTTAAATTTAACTTTATTGATTTTATTAAGGGAAGCTCTCATTTCAAGCAAAAGCCTTGCATAAATGAGTTCCAAATGCTTGCTGTACAGCGTACTCTTCTTACTATACATTCATGTACTTGTTGTACAGTCGTTTAATAGTTTGTTTAAACAGTTAAAAATGTTTCTATACCTGGATTTGTAGTATATTGAAGACTATACAAAAAAAAATGAACGAAAGTCAAAAACATAATTTAGATCATACTGCACTGTAGTAAGTTTAACTGCTTCAAAACCTAACGTGCGTTGAACTATAATGCTATGGAACTTGATTTTGTCTGTGTATGTTTTTAATGTATTTACATCAAATTCCTTTGTGGGCAGTTTTAGAAGGTTGTAAAATATGCAATTTAAATAGTACAGGCAGGGATTTATCATGAAGTCATTAAGTTATGTACTAAAGCAAGTTCAAAAGAAGTGTCTTATTCTAAGGTGATTCTTGAAGATATACAATCATTTGTTAACAATTTTAGAGTGTAATGACAAGTGTATGTTGTCTTCCTGAGCAATGGTTGCTAAATTGTCTTCATTGAAATGCACTGTTGAGTGTTAAGCTGCAATTTGAACTTAGTACATGTATCATTATGTGGCTAGTGTTGAAACATGCATTCTTGAAATGTTATTAATATCTACATGGGTAGTATAATTTGCAGTTTCAGGCAAGTTCTTCATAAATGCATTTCAAAATGCAATTTACATCATCAGGTGACCGTTATATTGTGGTTGACTGCGGAGGGGGTACTGTAGATCTCACAGTTCATGAAGTGAAAATGCCTGAAGGACACTTGAAAGAACTCTATAAAGCTTCAGGTAAAAGTGTTTTTTTTTCCTACCGATTGTTACAAAATCACAATCTATATTTTGTATTGAAATATTACAAGTGCTTAGATTAAAAAAAATTGGTTGATCACAACACAGGTAAATTTAATGAAATACATTTGATTCCTTTACATCTGGCCTTAATTTGTCATAGCTCTTCTGATAACTTAATAGATAAACATGCCATTTCATGAGTGAGTAACTTCTACAAGTGAAGAACATATTAGATTAGATCCTTGAGGGTTAATTTCCCTGAGAGTCGTCCCATAAATTGCCATAACATTCGTGGAAATGATGTTTTGGATCGGAGAAGGTTGAGACTGGACCGGAAAGAGGTGTACAAGGTTATGAGGGGCATGGACAGGGTGGATTGAAAGCAGCTGTTCCCTTTACTCGAAGGGTGAATAATAAGGGGGCATAATTTTAAAGTGAAAGGCAAGCGATTTAGAGGGGAATTGAGGAAAATTCTTTTCACCCAGAAGATGGTGGGGTTTGGAACATACTGCCTAGGAAAACTCACAACCTTTAAAAAGTACTTGGATGACCACTTTGAAGTGTTGTAACATTCAAGGCTATGGGCTTAGTGCAGGAAAGTGGGACTAGTTGATTTAGTACATTTGTGTCAGTACAGGCGTGATGTTCTGAAGGATCTCTTGTGTACAGTATGTCTCTGTGATTTCTCCAAAGTTTCTGTGAATATTTGGGCTTGGTAATTGCAATCAGTCAGAGTAGCCTCTTGAGCTGAACAATAAAAAAAGAAAGACTTCCTCACCATGATGATAAACTGGGATAGTCTTAATGAGTGAACTGTGGGTCCTCTGCCCCTGAAAACAGAACATGCTGGAGAAACTCAACAAGATGTCCTGTCCTTTAGAACTGCTAGTCAACCTGATTGGCTGACAGCTGAGTAGTCCCAGCAGTGCTAAGAAGGAAGTAGTGGTTACTTCTAGGGCTGCAAGAGAGTCAACAGGAAAAGATTACACATACCTTCGTTTAATATCCTTGTTTTGATTGGAGGGGGTCGGGGAGCCTAGGAAGTATGTAAGGAGCATGGGATTCACATTCAGAATAAAGAGAGGTGTGGTATCTTGGGGATGGGGTGAGGGATTTTTATGATGAGCCCAAGGCACCCCCAGCCAAAAGAGGTATGTTTCCTTCCTGAGATAGTAGGAACTGCCAATGCTGGAGAATCTGAGATAACAAGGTGTAGAGCTGGATGAACACAGCAGGCCAAGCCTGAAGAAGGTTCTCGACCCGAAACGTCAGCTTTCCTGCTCCTCTGATGCTGCTTGGCCTGATGTGTTCATCCAGCTCTACACCTTGTTATCTATGTTTCCTTCCTGCCTTTTTAGCCTAAGGTCATGAAATAGTGGGCTGACCTCCTTCATGCCATCTCCTCACACCCTCTCTATTATAACAGCACAAGTGGAATGACACCTTTTAAGTAGGGTTATTAATTGGCTTGTTAAGGGTCTAAATAAACTCAAAAAGGACTTGTTGACTAACTCTCTTCCTGTCATATCGTGGGGGCAACTCATGGAGGCAGTGATAGTCCAGCTAACCATTTTATCTCACCTGCAAATATGCTGGTGGATGATCCATAAAACTCTCCCAAGGAAGCGGTGAGAGTGCTAGTTTGACTAGATAGAAGTACATTCAACTTGCGATAACAAGGTGTAGAGCTGGATGAACACAGCAGGCCAAGCAGCATCAGAGGAGCAGGAAGGCTGACGTTTCGGGCCTAGACCCTTCTTCAGAAATGGGGGAGGGGAAAGGGGTTCTGAAATAAATAGGGAGAGAGGGGGAGGCGGATAGAAGATGGATAGAGGAAAAGATAGGTGGAGAGGAGACAGACAGGTCAAAGACGCGGGGATGGAGCCAGTAAAGGTGAGTGTAGGTGGGGAGGTAGGGAGGAGATAGATCAGTCCAGGGAGGATGGACAGGTCAAGGGGGCGGGATGAGGTTAGTAGGTAGGAGATGGGGGTGGGGCTTGAGGTGGGAGGAGGGGATAGGTGGGAGGAAGGACAGGTTAGGGAGGCGGGGATGAGCTGGGCTGGTTTTGGGATGCGGTAGGGGGAGGGTCTAGGCCCGAAACGTCAGCCTTCCTGCTCCTCTCATGCTGCTTGGCCTGCTGTGTTCATCCAGCTCTACATCTTGTTATCTCAGATTCTCCAGCATCTGCAGTTCCTACTATCTCTGAAACTACATTCAACTTGCGTTTTATTCTATTAATGTATCTATTGTCTTCCTCATAGGAATGAGATGTAAGATTAAAATAATAAAACTTTCTCTATGTTTACACAAGAACACAGGAGCATGAGTAGGCCATCTGGCCAGATCTGCTGTTTAGTAGAATGTGGCCTCAACTCCACAAAACAGAATACTGTAGATGCTGGAAATTAGAAATAAGAACAAAACATGTTGGAGAAACTCAACAGGTTCGGCAGCATCTGTGGAGAGAGGGGCAGAGTTAATGTTCAAGACTGATATGAAAGTACTGAAGAAGAATCATTTTGGATTTGGAAAGTTAGTCAGTTCATCACTCCATAGATGTTGCCAGACATGCTGAGTTTCTTCAGCATTTTCTGTTTTTATTTCACTGTGTTCATCTTGCATAATCCTTAACTCCTTTGTCAATTCTCATCTATCTAACTCAACATTGAATGCAGAATCCAACTTCCACTGTTCTTTGGCTAAGAGAATTCCACAGACTAATGACCAAATGAGAGCATTTTTCTCAATCTTAAATGGGTTAGCCCTAATTTTTAAACTGTGTTCCTTTTGTTCTAGATTCCTTCACAAGGGAAAACTTTCTTTTGGTGTTTACCTAGTCAAGTCCCCTGAGGATCTTGTATCTTTCAATAAGATCACTTCTCATTCTTCTAAACTCCAATGCATTTAGTTGTAATCTGCTCAACCTTTGATAAGATAATACCTTCATCCCAGGTACTAGTTGCATGAACCTTCTCTCAACCTTCTTCTAATTCAATTAGTCCTTTTGATTAAGGAGACCAAAACTGTATACCGTTTTCCATACGTGGCTCAAAAAGACCCTATACTGTTCCATACTTGAAGAATAGCCTCTTTAGGTGATTGTAATGGACGGCTCCCAGTGCTTGGATTCAGGGCACGGCATTTCTCGCTGATAGATCTTGTTTAGATCTTATTAAGAGCTACTTGTTGATCTTGTGCTGTTCCTTTCGTTTCAGGGTCCCCTTTTTCATTCTCACTAATTCATTAGGTGATGCAGTCATGTTGTAGCTATGGCACATATGGTACTTAAATTCACATTGAAGAATTCAAAGCCTTCATTAATATCCTCAAGATTTGGTAACGCTCCATTAAGATTAAAGCCACAATACACAAGGGATATATCAATTTCTTAGCACAAATTTAAATTGTTGCAATAGACCAGACATAAGTCAGCAAAAGATCTTTTCAAAGTAACTATCTTCCATATCTCCATAAATTTCCTTCTCCCTCTAATCTCTGTACTTCTTCATTTCTGGATTGTTGAGCATCCTAATTTTAATCACTCACGTTAGACGTCATATCTTCAGCTACCAAGACCCTAAATTTTGGATTTCATACCTTAAGCCTCTCCTCTCCAGCTGTCTATTCTCCTTTAAGCTATTCTTTAAAATCTAACTCATTGGGACATGTTTGGTCGACTGTCCTAATAGCTCCTTATGAAATGCAGTGTCAAATTTTCTTTAGTAATATTGCAGTGGGACATTCTGGTTTGTTATAGGAGTTAAATAATGCTAGTTGTTATTGTTTAACTCAGTTACGTCTTCTTTCAATTCCAGGTGGACCCTTTGGCTCTATAGGAGTGGACTATGAATTTGAAAAACTTCTTTGTAAAATTTTTGGGGAGGATTTCATTGAACAATTTAAAATCAAACGTCCAGCGGCTTGGGTAGATTTAATGATTGCATTTGAGTCACGTAAAAGGGCTGCTGCTCCTGGTAGAATCAATCCACTCAACATCAATTTGCCATTTTCATTCATCGATTACTATAAAAAATTCAGAGGTCACAGTGTGGAGCATGCCCTTAGGAAAAGCAGGTATGTAGACAGACATGTTTAAATTTGTACAGCACAGGTTCACTGGTAAATATAAGCATTTGAGCCTTCCTGAGTATTCCCAATCAAGGATATGAGACAGGGAGATAAGATGATAAATGCAAGTTAATGGATATGTGATGGTTATCCCAAAGCTCATGATGCTGTACGTCCTGAGTTCTGAAATTAGTTTCCTGCTGTCTAGTTTAACTGCCCTCTTGGATTTGTTGGGCATGGAAAATTGGGGGAGGTTGAGGAGATCACGAGTTGTTTACTTTTTTTTCATTCATGAAATGTGGGTGGCGCTAGCTCGGCCTCTCTAAAAGGCTGGATTTTTCTGAACTGTTGATAATGTAGGCAAGAATCCAGCTGTTTGGACAAAAGTGGAAATCTGCTCACCTTTTTCCTCCTCGTCCTCTAGCACTTTCGGTTGAGATATTTGGCAAAAAGGATTTTTATAAGTCTGCCTAATTGTGTGTCTTAAACTTTCAGACAATTTTACAGGGCAACTGCAGGTAAACCAGATCAAACCAAGCCCTTCTTTATGATGTCAAAAATCACACAACACCAGGTTATAGTCCAACAGGTTTATTTGAAATCACAAACTTTTGGAGCACAACCTCTTTGTCAAGTGCAGTGAGAGGAGAGCACACTAAACACAGAATTATAGGCAGAGAGAGGAAGGGCAGAGAGATCAAAAGATCATACAACCGGTGTGAGTGGAGTGAACAAACCTAAAATGGCTGACTGAGTGCCTCCTGTGGAATCTTTATTCATTCTTATATTCCTGTATTGTAGAAATTGCAAAAGCAGGATATGGAGAACTCTGTTAGAAAGGAGATGCAAATTTCAGTTGATTAGGATGCAAATTCAAGAATCTGTTTCAAGCCACTGCCCCAAGATAATTAAAGGTTTCATTAGAATCTGCCTAACTTTCCAAACTTCAAACAGGCAGAGTGATAGGAATATACAAAAGGTGACATCTCAGGTCAGACACTGAATTTTAGGTGTGAGGCCTTGTTCAGAATCTGTCTCAGAGTTTTAACCTAGAATCCGGCTGGTTTTATTCCAAAAGCAGGAATTTATAAAATGCCACACTGACTGACTGTGACTACACATGGTGTGTTTCTTGAACAATTTAGAATGTATCTGAAAATGAGCAAACATCTTGGATGAAATGATTCACCCCATAGGTCACCCACACACAACACAACACCATCCATGCTCTCAAGACCAATCGCAACATTGTCATCAAACCAGCAGACAAAGGAGGAGCCATCGTCATACAGAATGGAATGGACTACTGCAAAGAAGTATACCGACAACTGTACAACCAGGAACACTACACAAAACTACCTGCTGATCCGACCAAAGAACACACCCATCAACTCAGACTGATCAAGATCCAGTCCTTCAGATGTACTTCCTGCACACAGGACTTCTACCGCCTTCTGAAGATACTCTAAGCCAGCACACATGGACGTCCCATTGTATCAGGCAATGGAACCCTGTGTGAAAACTTCTCTGGCTATGTCGAGGGCATCTTGAAACCCATTGTACAGGGAACCCCCAGCTTCTGTAATGACACTACAGTTTTTTTTCCGCAGAAACTCAGCACCCGTGGACCGTTTGAACCAAGAATATTCCTCATCACAATGGATGTTTTGGCATTCTACACCAGCATCCCGCACAGTGATGGCATCGCTGCAACTCAGTACCAACAACTGCCAATTGCCAGATGCTATCCTACAACTCACCCCTTTCATCCTCGACCACAATGTCTTCAGCTTTGACAACCACTTCTTCATCCAGACACACAGAACAGCCATGGGGACCAAATTTGCTCCCCAGTATGCCAATATTTTCAAGTACAAGTTTGAGCAAGACTTCTTTGCTGCACAAGACCTCTGACCAATGCTACACACCAAATACATTGATGACATTTTCTTCCTTTGGACTCATGGTGAGGAATCACTGAAACAACTACATAGTGATATCATCAATTTTCATCCCACCACAAGACTTACCATGGACTACTCTTCAGAATCAATTTTATTTTTGGACACATGCATCTCCATCAAGGACAGACACCTCAGTACCTCATTCTACTGTAAGCTCATGGATAACCTCACGATGCTGCACTTCTCTATCTTCCACCCTAAACATATCAAAAAAGCCATCCCCTTATGGACAAGCCCTGCCCATACACAGGATCAGCTCAGATGAAGATGAACACGACGGACACCTGAACGTTTTGAAGGGCATAAGAACAGGATCCGATGCTCAACTCATCGATTGCCAGTTCTGACATGCCACAGTGAAAAACCGCACTGACCTCCTCAGAAAACAGACACAGGTTGTGACCGATAGAGTAGCCTTTGTCATCCAGTTCTTCCTCGGAACAGCCTTTAAAATGTCATCGATGATAATGAACATCTCGCCAAGATTTTCCTCACACCTCCACTTCTTGTCTTCAAACAACCACCAAACCTTAAACAGACCATTGTTTGCAGCAAACTACCCAGCGTTCAGAACAACATTGACCATAACACTATACAACTCTGTTATAGCAACTTTTGCAAGGCCTATCAGGTCTTCGACATGAATGCAACCATCACACGTGGGAACACCACTCACCACATACACGGTAGATACTTATGTGACTCAGCCAATGTTGTCTATCTCTAATGCCACATGCAAGGATGCCCTGAGGCATAGTATATTGGCGTGACCATGCAGATGCTGTGACAATGGATGAATGGACACTGCGCAACAATTGCCAAATAGGAATGTTCGCTCCCAGTCTGGGAACACTTCAGTAGTCAAGGACATTTAGCCTCCAATCTTCGGGTAAGCGTCCTCCAAGGCAGACTTTAAGATACACAACAATGCCGAATTGCCGAGCAGAGACTGATAGCCAAGTTCTACCCATGAAGACAGTGTGAACTGTGATCTTGGGTTCATGTTGCGGTACAGGTGACCCCACCACACTGGTTGTATCTGTAAAATCTTCCTTAGTGTCCTGTTTTGATAGCATCACCTTGATAAATTGTTTTGATCTCTCTGCCTTAATTAGTTTGTACAGTTTTGGATTACTTAATGCGCACTCTCTCACACACACACAAGCACACATAGAAGATAGGAGCAGGAAGAGGCCATTCCGCCCTTTGAGCTTGCTCCGCCATTCATCACAGTCATGCCTGATCGTCTAACTCAGTAGCCTAATCCTGCTTTCACCCCATAACCTTTGATCCCATTCACCCAAGTGCTATATCTCGCCGCCCCTTGAATACATTTTGGCATCAACTGCTTCCTGTGGGAGTGAATTCCACAGGCTCACCACTCTTTGGGTGAAGAAATGTCTCTTCATGTCCCCCCTAAATGGCCTTCCCTGAATCCTCCGACTGTGACCCCTGGTTCTGGACTCACTCACCATTGGGAACATTTCCCCTGCATCTACCCTGTCTAGTCCTGTTAGAATTTTATAAGTCTCTGTGATATCCCCCCTCATTCATCTGAACTCCAGCAAAAACAATCATAACCTAGTCAATTTCTCCTCATATGTCAGTCCCGCCATCCCTGGAATCAGCCTGGTAAACCTTCACTGCACTCCGTTGAGACCAAGAGCATCCTTCCTCACTAGAGGACTCCAAAACTGCACACAATATTCTAGATGTGGTCTCACCTAGGCCCTGTTTAACTGCAAAAACACATCCCTGCTCTTGTACTCGAAACCTCTCGCAATTAAGGCCAACATACCATTTGCCTCCGTTACTGCTTGCTGCACCTGCATGCTTACCTTCAGTGACTGGTGCACAAGAACACATAGGTCCCGCTACACACGTACACACAGACTCTCTATCACACAAACACACACACACACACAGACCCTCTTTCTCACACTCTTTCACACACATACTCACACTCACATACACCCTGTCTCACACATTATACTTTCTGATACACATATATTCTCTCACAAAAACTGAAAGAACTGCAGCTGTTGTAAATAAGGAACAAAAACAAGTTTCTGAAAAAGCTCAGCAGGTCTGGCAGGATCTGTGAAGAAAATATCAGTTAACGTTTCGGGGCCAGTGACTGTTCCTCAGACCCTTCCTGAGGAAGTGTCACTGGAACTGAAACGTTAACTCTGATTTTTTTTCTTCACAGATCCTGCCAGACCTGCTGAGCTTTTCCAGAAACTTCTGTTTTTATACTCTCTCACACTCACTCACATTCCCTCTCAAGTGCTCACACACACACCCACACACACACACACACTCACGTATAAACCTGTGGGGTGAATCATTTCATCCAAGATGTTTGTTTATTTTCAGATACATTCTACTTTGTTCAAGAAACACACAACATATAGTCACAGTCAGTCAGTGTGGCAATTTATAAATTCCTGCTTTCGGAATAAAACCAGCCTGATTCCAGGTTAACTCTTGAGACAGATTCTGAACAAGGCCTCACACCTACAATTCAGTATCTGACCTGAGATGTCACCTTTTGTATATTCCTATCACTCTGCCTGTTTGAAGTTTGGAAAGTTAGGCAGACATTGATGAAACCTTTTAGGTTTCATTTTAGGTTTGTTCACTCCACTCACACCATTTGTATGATCCTTTGATCTCTCTGCCCCTGGATATATGTTTCTGGATATAAATTGTCCCATTGACAACACCCAGCATGGGTTCATGAAGGGTAGGTCATGTTTAACTAATTTGGTGGAATTCTTTGAGGACATTACTTGCACGGTGGACAATGGGGAACCTGTGGATGTGGTGTATCTGGATTTCCAGAAGGCATTTGACAAGGTGCCACACCAAAGGCTGCTACATAAGATAAAGTTGCACGGTATTACAGGTAATGTATTGGCATGGATAGAGGATTGGTTGACCAGTAGAAAGCAAAGAGTAGGGGTAAATGGGTGCTTTTCTGGTTGGCGGTCAGTGGCTAATGGTGTGCCTCAGGGATCAGTGTTGGGACCGCAATTGTTTACAATTTACATAGATGATTTGGAGTTGGGGACTAAGTGTGGTGTGTCAAAATTTGCAGATGAGGCTAAGGTGAGTGGTAGAGCAAAGTGTGCAGAAGACACTGAAAGTCTGCAGAGGGATATAGATAGTCTAAGTGAGTGGGCAAACGTCTGGCAGATGGAGTACAATGTTGATAAGTGTGAGGTCATCCATTTTGGTAGGAATAACAGGAAAATGGACTATGTTTTAAATGGTAAAAAATTGCAGCACGCTGCTGTGCAGAGGGACTTGGGTGTCCTTGTGTATGAATTGCTAAAAGTAGGATTGCAGGTGCAGCAGGTAATTAAAAAGGCAAATGGAATTTTGACTGCCATTGCTAGAGGGATGGAGTTTAAAAACAGGGAGCCTATGCTGCAGCTGTATAGGGTCCTGGTGAGGCCACACCTGGAGTGCTGTGTGCAGTTTTGGTCTCCTTACTTGAGATGAGATATACGAGCACTGGAGGGGGTGCAGAGGAGATTCACTCGGTTGATTCCAGGGTTGAGGGGTTTGGATTATGAGGAGAGACTGAGTAGACTGGGATTATAGTCATTGGAATTCAGAAGAATGAGGGGAGATCTTGTAGAAACATATAAGATTATGAAGGGAACAGATAAGGTGGAGGCAGGGAGGTTGTTTCCGCTAGCAGGTGAAACTAGGACTAGAGGGCATTGCCTCAAAATAAAAGGAAGCAGATGTAGGACTGAGGTCAGGACGAACTACTTCACCCAAAGGGTTGTGAATCTGTGGAATTCCCTGCTCAGTGAAGCGGTTGAAGCTACCTTGCTGAATGTTTTTAAGGCAAGGCTAGATAAATTTTTGAACAGTAAAGGAATTAAGGGTTATGGTGAGTGGGCGGGTAAGTGGAGCTGAGTCTCAAAAAGATCAGCCATGATCTTATTAAATGGCAGGGCAGGCTCAAGGGGCCGGATGGCCTACTCCTGCTCCTAGTTCTTATGTTCTTATGCCCTTCCTCTCTGTGCCTATAAAGACTGTGCCTGTGCGCTCTCTTCTCATTGTACCTGACGAAGGGGCTGTGCTCTGAAAGCTTGTGATTTCAAATAAACCTATTGGACTATAACCTGGTGTTGTCTGATTTTTGACTTTGTCCACTCCAGTCCAACATGGGCACCTCCATGTAATGGCTTCTTTCTGATTTCCACCTTCAATATAATTAGCCATCTATACTGGAAGTATGTTACAATTCAGATATTGGGGCCCAGAAAATGCTACCATTATAGATGGAGCACATTTATAAGAAAACTCCTATTTTCCCCTTTTGTTTTTAATTAGCAGCATGAACATTTAAATAAGGGTTTACGCCTTTTGGGAGTCATATGATCCCCACTTCAAGCAAATTCCCAATGTATCAAACAATTTTGCAATGAACGTCCAGTGTTCCTCTGAGGATTTGAAGGGCTACTCCTTGTGAAAATTCAAATCCATATTTTCAGATCAGGCAAACACCCAATACCTAAAATTCCTGACACTAATGGATCACAGCCTCTTATGAGTGAGAGACACAAATGTATCAATGAAGATTACGAAAAAGTCAATTTTTCCCATTTTCTGACAAAGTGGTAACAGGATATGATTTCCACCTGCCTTCTGATCCTGTTGTAGTCTTGATTTATTTTCTTTCTGAAAGCTATGCTTCCCATTAACAATTATTAGTATGCCAAATAGTGGCTGAATTCAGAGATTTTGATCCTTAGATTCTGCTTTGGTTCAAGACTCGCCTTATTTTTCCTGCAGTGTGAATTTTGTAAAGTGGTCGTCCCAAGGTATGCTAAGAATGAACCCAGATGCTATGAATGCTCTATTTAAACCCACTGTTGACAATATCATCCAACATCTACGTAAGTACAATTTGGGATGAAAAAGCAGAATTATTAGACATAATTTAGATTGACATGGTTAGTTTGCAGAAAAATTGATGTACGGTTTAAATAACTTAAATATTTCTAGAATTTAATAAAGTAACTTAAATCCTGTAATCCACTTTAATAACATGAAAATGCATCACAAGTATCAGAACCTGTGTTAACAAGTTGAATAAAGTAAAGAACTACAGATGCTGGAAATCTGAAACAAAAACAGAAATTGCTAGAGAAACTCACCTGGTCTGTCAACACCTATTCAGAGAATTAACATTTTGAGTCCAGTGAATGTTCTTCAGACAAGACCCTCTGTTTTCTGGGGCTTTTAGAAGTACCTCATTGTGAAACTGTTAGTGTTTGCGGCTCCTTCATCGCATTTCTTTTGGAGCCATGGAGATATATAGAGCAGAAACAGACCCTTTGGTCCAACTTGTCTATGCCGACCAGATATCCTAAATAAATCTAATCCCACTTGCCAGCATTTGACCTATATACCTCTAAACCGTTCCTATTCATATACTCATCCAGATGCTTTTTAACTGTTGTAATTGTACCAGCCTCCACCACTTGCTCTAGCAGTTGATTCCATGCCTGCAGTACCCTCTGGGTGAAAAAGTTGCCCCTTAGGTCCCTTTTAAATCTTTCCCCTCTCACCTTAAATCCGTGCCCTCTGGTTTTGGACTCCCCACCCCAGAGACAACTCCTTGACTATTTACTCTATCCATGGCCCCTCATGATTTATAAACCTCTATAAGGTCATCCCTCAGCTTTTGACACTCCAGGGAAAATAGCCCCAGTCTATTCAGCTTCTCTCTGTAGGTCAGATCCTCCAACCCTGGCAACATCCTTGTAAATCTTTTCTGAACCCCTTCAAGTTTCACAGCATCCTTCCTATAGCAGGCAGACCAGAATTGCATACCGTATTCCAAAAGTGGCCTAACCAATGTCCTGTACAGCCGCAACATGACCTCCCAACTCCTATACTCAATGCACTGACCAATAAAAGCAAGCATACCAAACGCCTTCTTCACTATCCTATCTACCTGCGACTCCACTTTCAAGGAAATATGAACCTGCACTCCAAGGTCTCTTTGTTCAGCAACAATCCCCAGGACTTTACCATTATGTGTATAAGTCCTGTCCTGATTTGCCTTTCCAGAATGCTGTACCTCACATTTATCTAAATTAAACTCCATCAGCCAATCCTCTGCCCATTGGCCCATCTGATCAAGATCCCCTTGTACCCTGAGGTAACCTTCTTCGCTGTCCACTAATCCTCCAATTTTGGTGTCATCTGCAAACTTATTAACCATACCTCCAACGTTCACATCCAATCATTTATATAAATGACAAAATGCAGTGGACCTAGCACCAATCCTTGTGGATCGCTGGTCACAGGCCTCCAGTCTGAAAATCAACCCTCCATCACTACCCTCTGTCTTCTACTTTCAAGCCAGTTTGTATCCAAATAGTTAGTTCTGTCTGTATTCCATGTGATCTAACCTTGCTAACGAGTTTACCATGAGGAATCTTGTCGAACACTTTAATGAAGTCAATATAGATCACGTCCGCCACTCTGCCTTCATCAATCCTCTTTGTTACTACTTCAAAAAGGCTCAATCAAGTTCATGAGACACGATTTCCCACACACAAAGCCATGTTGTCTATCCCTAATCAGTCCTTGCCTTTCCAAATACATGTAAATTCTGTCCCTCAGGATTCTCTCCAACAACTTGCCCACCACTGATGTCAGGCTCACCAGTCTACAGTTCCATGGCTTTTCCTTACCACCTTTCTTAAATAGTGGCACCACGTTAGCCAACCTCCATTTTTCCGGCATCTTGCCTGTGGTTATCGCTGGTACAAATATGTCAGCAAGGGGCCCAGCAATCCTTTCCCTAGTTTCCCACAGAGATCTAGAGTACACCTGATCAGGTCCTGGGGATTTATCCACCTTTGTGCATTTTTAGATGTACAGCACCGCTTCCTCTGTAATATGGACATTGTTCAAGAGGTCGCTATTTACTTCTCCACGTTCTCTATCTTCCAAATCCTCCTCCACAGTTAACACTGATGCAAAATACTCGTTTAGAATCTCCCCCATCTCCTGCATTTCTGCACATAGGTGCCCTTCTTTTTTGAGATCAATAATCAAAATGACTGTTATAAATGATATACCCCTTGATGGCTTTGTACTATTTCTGATGGTTTTGGACCTACAGAGACCAAAGAATAAAGCTGTGATGCCCTGGATTTCAATATGAGGAGTTGCAGTGGAAAAATGTTCGTGGTAGAAGTGTCTTGCCATTATGAAAGCATAGTATTGTGGACGCAAGAAAACTGAAATGGAGACTTTTTAATGAATGCAAATATTGGCTATCTGAAAAGAAATGCCAACGTTTGAAGTGGGAGACTCCCTCTAATACAGTCCATCTAAAATATTAGTTTGTTTTTCTCTTCCAAGTGTGGGTTATTTCAGCATATCCTGTTTGCAAATAGGAACAATAAGTGTTTTCAGTTCCAGATTCCAAAATATGGTATTGAATGAAACAATTATTAAGGTTTTTTTCCAGACTTCTAAAAATGAACTTTTTTAACCCGATGTTAATGGCTTGATTTTTTTCCCAATACAATTTGTGTGAACAATAGAAAACAACAAATCTGTGATAAACTAATCCCCACATTCTGTCCCTGAATAGAATAGAATAGCCTTTATTGTCACGTGCACTTGAATGAGTGCAGTGAAAAGTTTGTAATGTCACCTCTTGGTGCCATCTCAAGTACAGGGTACCTAGATACAGATACTTTAAGCATTGTCACAGAACTGTAGAAGAAGAAAATAAACTAACATGGGAATACAGAGTTTATAAGTCCAGAATGAAAATAATATGTCTTTGAAATACTCAAATTATAGCCCATTTCTACTGAGTCTGTGCTCCCTGGGCTTCAGAATGCGAGGCCTGTCTCCTGTCCCGGACTCGCCTCCAGGACTCGTACCCCTGGCTGGCCCGCACTCGCTCTGCTCCCCCTCTGAGCTCAGGCCATGAATTGGCTTCCAGCTTGGCCTACGCTCACTCGGCTCCCCACTCTGACAGTCAGCCGGCGCTCACTCTGCACCCCGTTCTGTGCACCAGCCTGCGACATGTCTCCCTTCATCTTGTCTCCATTAGTTTAAGAAGTTAAAAGTTGTGGAGGAAGAAAAACTGCTGCAAGGAAGACAAAAAAAAGGGAAAGGAACTGGTGAGCAGAGGAGCTCCAGCTGGAGCGTCCTCCTCTCCTGCCATCTCGAACAGTTGTTATGTCTGAAGCAGTTTCCTGATACAGTGCTACACACGGGTGACATGATTTTTAGTTAGCTGTAACAAAATCCAACTTCAATTCACAACTGAATGTAACATGGGGAGCATGAGTTGTCATTCTTGTCAGACAAAGTGCTTTAGAGACTTTAGTACAGAAATATTAAATACGTTGCCCAAAAACGTTCCCTCACAACCTCAACTGTAAAGGATCATGCATTTGTCTAGTCCCCTCATTCTGTAGCCTCACATGCATGAACATTTAAAAGAAGAATTCCTTCCTCAATGAACAATCTTTGACTTAATTGATCTCCAGATAATGACATCAACAAAGGCCAGACAGATCCTCATTGAATACATGGATAAAGCTAGTTAATCATACATATTATGTTCCTCATAACCTTCATGAACCCACCTCCCCCAGTCATCCCCATCTCAGAGATAAAGAGAATTTACGGATGCAGTTAGTTTAAAGCAATTTATATATTACGTTTACGCTTCAATCTAGGGTTAAACAGAAATATAAAGCTGTTCATTTTGCAAAATTAACATCATTGAAAGAAGAGCTAATGTTGAGAAGAACTCATTTGTGTTTATGAAGAGAATATTTCTGATGAACAGTATTTTTCTCCAGTTAATCTTTTCCAGAAACCCGAAGTTTCAGGTTTGAAGTTTTTGTTTTTGGTGGGTGGATTCGCTGAGTCACCTTTACTTCAACAGGCCATTCAATCAAATCTTGCCGACAAATGCCGTGTCATAATTCCTCACGATGTGGGACTTACCATTCTAAAAGGGGCAGTGCTGTTTGGACTGGACCCCACTATCATTAAAGTACGGCGTTCGCCACTGACCTACGGAGTTGGGGTATTGAATCGATTTGTGGATGGGAAGCACCCAACTGAAAAGCTTCTAGTTAAAGATGGCACTCGCTGGTGTACTGATGTGTTTGACAAGTTCATCACAGCTGACCAGTCTGTGGCTCTTGGAGAGACTGTCAAACGCAGTTACACTCCCGCAAAGCCATCACAAATGATTATTGTGATCAATATATACTGTTCTGAAAATGATAATGTTAACTTCATTACTGATACCAGTGTAAAGAAGTGTGGCACTCTTCGCCTTGATCTAACAGGAACTGATAGTCCATCACTGCCAGCACGAAGAGAGATTCAAACGTTAATGCAGTTTGGAGATACTGAGATAAAAGCAATGGCTATTGATATTGCTACTTCCAAATGTGTCAAAGCTGGCATTGATTTCCTGAATTACTAAGATGTCACCAGTCATCCAAAAAACCCCGTGCCCTAATTCATAATTATTGATTATGTCTAAAACTGGAAGTCAATTTATATTTCAGATTGGGAATTTACTGTAAGTGAAAAGAGAGTCTAGCAATACCAATCACTTCAGTGCACTACCAGAATGCCAAGAAATATTACCTTAAATGCCTGATGTATGCACATAGATGATTAAATATGTAAAGTCAGAATTTGCTCTTGTTTTAGGGAAAAAAGAGCAACAGCATAAAGGTGCTTGGAGAAATGCCACTATTTATTCACAGCCTGCTCGCTAATATTTAATTCCTTAATATTTATCATGCTGAAATGAAGTAGTGATGTGGTCATGCAGTAATTCAATCTTATATTTACTTTGTTGAGAATTAAAATGGTCAAAAATTGGAATGTTCAGAACTTTTCCTCTAAATAATTAAGCCAGTAATTATTTTTATTATTGTATATACAATATTTAAAGTATTGTACATACTTTTATTTCCAGTATTAAAAGTATAAATGTGAAATATTTGATTATGTTAAATTTATTGTAATAACACTGAGCTGGAAAGCAAATCCGTGCCTAATGACAGGTGTTAGATCTTGAACTGCAGACCTATGCTTCATGTATAACCACATGTATCTTTCAACATTAAAAGCTATTCCATTTACTGTGGTGTTTTATTCTTTGAATGATATTCTTTCTGACATTGGTTTTATTTTCTGAGTGCCTTTTTCTCTTGACTGGGGAAGAAATGATCACTTAATGTTTGTACAAATTGCTGAATTTCATGAACACAGCCAAATATCACTGCATCAATGGGAGCTTCAATTCTTGGCAGTTCTAGTGTAAACACAATGAAAGGAACATACTCTTGACGTGTCTGTTGATTTTATTTCTCCATCAAATAGTATTTGCTCTTTTGGGCAGTAATTGCCTTCCAGAACGTCAATTAAATGTCTGTTCTTCAGACATGAAACAAGAAATCAGTGTTGGTTTTAACTTTTCAACAGCAGCATCAAGGGATAGTAGTAATTCCTTTCAATTGTTAATGTTTCCTGTTATTTAGTAATAACTTACATGATCCCAGCTGTTACCATCTAACTATCTTTAATAATTTAAAGGTGTTACATGATCCCAGCTGTTACCATCTAACTATCTTTAATAATTTAAAGGTGTTGAGTATAGTGAGCCTTCTTTCTAAGAAGTTCAACAGCACCATCATGTGGAAAGTTTACTATACTGCAGAATTTTGTGAAAAAATAGAAAGCATCTGCCATTTTTTAAAGAACTCAAAAGGATATAATCAATACTGCCATCACATTCATTCAAAGTGTATGTTACAGACAGTTGTGTCATCTATTGAGCTCATATTGTTCAGTAAGATCAAATATTTGTGATTAGTGTATGTTCAAAGGTCTTAAATATTTAATGCCCAACAAGCATGAGGAGAAAGAAGGTTGTTGCAATTTTTTCCACAATATCTTCCAGAAGTTGATTCTTATCTCCTTTAGCACCTTTTTGTATTTTCTTTTTCATCCTATATTCCTTTGTATATGTATACCAATGATAATCTTCAAATGCAATTATGAGTGAGTTGTCAATGATGTTATACTGATAACAGCACTTCATTTTTAAATAACATGCAAGCAGCCACAAGTGGCCTTAGTCATAGTTTGATTGAACAGTGCCCCTGTGCCCCTATGCCAACAACAGCCAAAAAAGGCTTCCATTTATATAGCAGATTTAACATGGGCAGATCTCCCAACCACCACACAGAAACTTCTGATTAATAATTGATAGCAAACCAAAAACAAACTGTAACAGCATGGTATGTTTTGGAGAGGGTGTTAAATGATGAGAAAGAGGTAAAGAGATTTTAGGGTGACAATACCAGAGCTTAGGAACTGGACTGGATGAGATTAAAGAATTTGAGAAATGTGAACAATTTAAACACAAGAATGTGAATTTTAAATTGGAGGTACTGCTGAATGGGTCCATTGAGATGAGAAAGCACGGGAGAAATATGGATGAGAATATTAACATCAGAGTTCTGAGTGAGCTCAAGTTATTGAGGATGGGAAACTTACAAGGAGAGTAATGGGATAGTTAAGCCCTTGCACAGTCATTGATGAGGCCTTCAGCAAAAGATGGCTTTAAGCACTGATGTGTGATATTATGGATGTGCAGTTTGGCAGTATATCATGGAGAAGATGTTTGTACAATTGAACTTCTCTAACCATCCTTGCATGAGCCCAGTAGAGCAGAAACTGTGCACTCCACATTTAACGAAGTGGAGGATTTCCCCAGATCAAGGTGACTGATTTTCGTATTTTATTAATGATTGTCCTTTGAAAAGATTTTTAGTGCAGCTCGTACAGCAACCAATCACTTTATTTCACATGAGAATGTATGCTTTCATGGAGGTTGCCATGTTCCTTTTCTCTGCCACCAATCTATTACATTTGTGCTAATCAACCAGTGTTAAATACACACTTGGCTGCTTGAACATATGAAATGTCCATTGCAATGGTTTACTTCGGGTCATCTCAGAACAGGTATACTGCGCTGCGAACCATACACACTATTAATAAGCAGATAATTGGAGTTCTGAAGTTTCTTCCAAGCTGTCTAAAGTTATCTGGGGTACATCAGAATCTGATGTGCAGTATATTGTCACAATTCAGATAATGCTTTCCTGCTTGTGGATAACATGACATTGCCAGTGAAGGACAGTAAGTGCCTCCTGGCACCTCCTTGCTGGCAGGAAGATGGATTAAGCAGCACATTTTTAACAATATCATCTGCAAAAGTTCAGACAGCCCTTCAGCACAATCAGTCATTCTGTGAGCTACCCTTTGTAAAGTATGTAGTCAAAAAATACTCTTGCTAAAGTTTGTTCTAAACTGGATAGAGACTTGATTAGTTTGACATGAATATATTCAAACACACTAACGGGCAAAAAAATTTGCTGATTTTTCAAATCATCATTTCATTACTTATAATGCTGCATTTTCCTTAACTGTACAGACTGTTTAATTGACAACCTAAACTCTTCCTAGTATAATATGCTGCTTGATTGTCACATGTTCAGGAGAAAGGTAGCTGAGACATTTCTACTAAAGCCTTTAAGATGTACGATTTTGGGATTCAGTTTAACTTTATTCATGAGACCTAAGACAATTGCAATTATAGACTGAATTGAGAGTGCTAATCTAAAGATTTTCAAGCCCTGATTCATTAGAAGACCAATTCCAAGTGTGTGTGATTTTACAGGTTTCATAGAATGCGTTAAGTTTATCAAAACAAGTCTAAAAAAATTACTGAATAAAAGCAGTAATTTTTCAGTCGACTCACTGTAAGACACCAACTTTTGACTCTGGTTGATTAGGCACATGTCTCTTGTTTACTCCTGTTGACTGAAGTTCTCATTCTGACTGTTGGGTCTTCTTTTATCGTGCATTGAACCACTAAGAATCACTGCCTCTTAACCTTTTGTTAGCCCTGGTCGATTGTGCATGATCAGAGACATCCTGAACTCAAGTGACTTGCGAACACACAAACTGCACATCTTCAATCTTGGATTGACTAAATGGTGTGTGCCCAATTCCTAATTAGTTTCTTTAAAAGTAATGGTCTTCTTAATGACATCACTTCCTTCTCTTCCCTGATCCATTTTTCAACATGCCAATCATTTTGCAAGATCATCCCTTTGTAAAAAACTTGTCTATTTAAATGAGCCAAGCTTTTGAAATTTTAATGTAGTACCGATGAAGTCATTTATGTGGCTGCACATAAAGTATGTAATGTCAACTTCCAGTGGTTTAATCTAGTTCCAAATGTTCCAAGTGATACATTTGAATGTTCTGAAAAATGCCGAAGCCTGTCAATCTGTTGTAATTGAAAGAACAACTAGTCAATGCATGAGTTCATCATGCCCCTGATGCCTAAGACAAGTTAACTAAAGTCTTTTTAGTATCTATGTAAAAATCAGGAGGGACTGTGTAGAAATGATCATTATATTAAAACAAATGTAACAGAATATACATAGAAGATACAGTATAATAGGTTTAATTGATAAAACTAGAAAGGTCTAAACAACTGCAAGACCACCAAAATCACTACCAACTGTAATTCCAAAGTACGTGCATATATTCAAATAGAATACAAACTGAATTCTTCACTTAAACAAGTCATAATTATTAATTATTGAGAAATAATTTAATCCTTCAAAGGACTTGGATGACACAGTGAATCAGCTGCCTGTTTTTATGACCAGGTGAGTGTGGGTGAAATGATTCTTCTGATGCTCCCACTTCTCATTTGACCTTAACAGCTTCTTGCTTTAGAATGTGAAGAGGATGTACTTTGCCAATTCTATACGAGTCCCAAATTTTTATGTCCTGAGCCTCTGAAGATTTATTCAGGCAGTTTCGCTTAAAGTAAACAATGAACTAGATATGTTAATTGAAACTAGTCTTTATGAATTAAGAAGACTAAGGATGTAATTCCATGGCATGTTGAGAATACTGACAAGCAAACTAACCTAATTGGATGAGAGTGAAAAATGATCACATGCTTGATGTCAAGAAAATCTTGCCCAATTTAATGCTCAAGCCTTTGCTGGCAAGCTCAGAGTCTCTTCCTTGAGTATCAAGAAGTTCATTGTGATGATTTTTTTAATCTCATTAATAGTCTAACCTACCTTATTAACATCAGATCTGCAAACTTACTTTCCACTATTGGGAAGCCCAATGGCTCAAAGACTCAACAATTAAAACAGAGTGCTCACTTGCTGACTTGTTTTGTCAGCATCCCTTCCAGGTCTTGGAATGTGAGTATTGGCTATCTACTTTCTCTTTACAAGGAACCACTTCACAGAAGATTCTTGAATGGTCAATAGTGACCATCCTTGTCAGCCCTTCATCCACGAAACGCGGCATTGGCAAATCATTAGTCTCACAACATCATCACACTACTCACAGAACAACTCAGTCACCCCTTCAGGGCTGCACCCATCAACTTTGGAGCTGAAGGATGGCTTTGACTTGCATATGTCTGCTGCATTCCTTTATGTTTAGTGAAACCTAGCCATTTCGTATAAATACAAGACTATCTGGACATAGAGCCAGGCATCTTATTGGTCTTAGCTTGCTTTTTCATGCACAATACTTTTAGGGCATTTTATTAGAGACAGACACCCTATGTAGATTGGCTAGCTTTTAGCACATAAGATGATTAACACTGAGTTGGGGTGTTTTAAATGTTTCCTCCCAACATAACAGACAATTTGATTGTCCGGCATGTAATTGAGCAAGATCACATACGTCAGAACATCACCTTGAGACATAATAATGCCTTCATTAGGAAGCCTTCAAGCCATATTCTGTGAAGGCATAACTTTCAGCCTGGTCATTAAGCTTGACGTGATGTTTTGGATGTCCCTTCAATAATATTTCCTTTCTCTCACTATTCCCACAGATTATCTACTCACAAAATTGAAATGAAAAATGGGCCTGTTCAGCTCCTCCTGACTTTATTCTTAATGATAAATCAATAGAGAAGGAAATAGCAATCACAAGACCTTCAGCAAACCCAGCAAGTAGAAGATCCTTCATGGAGACACAGGCAGATAGTGAGTCCTAGGGTTAATAGGCTTGTCTCCTGTTA